CTGGGATGTGGGAAAAGAGAAGGGAAAGAAGGAGAAATTTTGTATGTATGTATATACAGGATAGTTAACATAGTTGTTCTACTGTCTTCTATTTCTTTGCTGAAAGAAACTGTCAATGAGTCCTTGATTGATCAATATTGCATGACTCTGTTTTCATGAGAAACCACTTTGAAGATATCAATACGTAATACAACAAGCATTGTTAATTTCCTACCACTTTGTTTGTAACTCCGTATTGTCCGTACTGTTCTTTTGCTATTTTGTAAAAGGTTGTCTGTCTGTTAATGTTTTCTTCCTTTTATTTTTAAAATAAAAATAATTCAGTTGTTCAGTCACACAAGCCACATTTCAAGTGCTCAATACTTATGTGAGGTTAGTGGCCACCACATGTGACAGCACAAAACTAAACATCTTCACCATAAAGAGAGTTAACCTGGATGACACTGCCTTAGCGTCCAGAATATAGGATGCTTACCACACTTTAGCTGGGATGATCTGTTTTGCAGGCATCCTAGAATGTCTTGCGATCCAATCAAAAATTACCTCCAGGAGACTTGGCAGTTAAACAACAGGCTAATGGCTAGTTGAAAATTTTTACTCAATTGGGATGTGGTGCTACACACCTGTAATCCCAGTACTCTGAGGCAGAAGGATCGCCATGAGTTCAAGTCCAGCCTGGGCTACACAGTGAGTTCAAGGTCAGTCTGAACTATATAGCCAAACCATGTCTCCCAAAAATAAAACAAAACCAAAAAAAAAAAAAAAAAAAGTTGGTACTCAACATTTTGCTGAATGAGTTCTGAAGGAAAGAACATCCTAGTGGGGATGGCAGCGGTGTTGGCAACAGACAAAAATCCAAAAGTAAACCAACACAGAAGGAGCATAACACAAGGTATAAATTACTTTAAAAAACCAAAAGATTGGGGCTGGGGATTTAGCTCAGTGGCAAAGTGCCTGCCTGGCAAATGCATGATCATGAGTTCGATTCCTGGTACTGGAAGAAAAACAAACAAACAAACAAAAAACACCAAAAGATCAACTATGCACCAAAGGCAAGTCGCCAGCTTATGTTCATGCTACAAAGCCCATCATCAAATCTAATGTATGGTCAGGCAACCATTATAGCTATGGATTCTATGAAAGATTATTATCAAGGCCAAGTCTAAGGCAATTGAGTAGGTGTGTATACACACTTTAAACATTTTTTAAAACTTATTGCTAAAAGATAATCTTTAAATAAATATTAATACATTTCACTTTCTATATATTGTATTTCAGGGGCACACCTAGGATACAAAGATATTTGGTCAAGTGTTATTAGTTTGTGCGTGTGTGTGTGTGTGGACATATCCCAATGAGTACTTTTACAATGAATATTGTTCAATCTATTAGTAGCACTCTTGATATAAGACTTAATAAAAAGAAGAAAAGATTGGGAGAAATAACCTACATTTGTCAGAACCTATGAAATATTATCATTCAAAAGGTGAGGTATAGTCAGCAAGGGAAATCAAATCATTTAGTTCAAATTAAATTTCCTATCCCTCCCTTTAAAATTGAATAGCTTCATACTTTCATAGGAAAAACTACATACAAAAATTTTGCTAGCTTTCACTAAGGTGAAGGTTCCTACCTTTCTGGTTTTCTTTTTCAAATCCGGAAATCTGTTAAAAGAAAATATTTTACATTTATTCAAGTATTCAGTTATAATGAACAAATCAAAGCAGGTTATAAAAACTAAATCTTACCAGTGATTTGTAGAGACTGGATGTGGGGTTGATTTTAATGAGTTGTAATAGGTCTTGCATAGTAAATACCTTAAGGGGAAAAAAGGATTAGCTATATTTTTACAACAATATTTCAATGATCAATTAGGATACTTCTCTGAACATGATATTAGGAATCATACGTCAGATTAAATGAGGATTACACCTATGTTGTTAATGCAAAATTGTTGTTCTTTCTCACACTGTTAAATAAGTTACAATAAACATATTGAGACCCGGGTGTGGTGGTGCACAACTGTAATCCCAGCACTTGGGAGGCTGAGGCAGGAGGACTGTTGCAAGTTCGAAACCAGCCTGGGCTACAAAGTGAGCTCAAGGCCAACCTGAACTGCATAGCGAGAACCTGTCTCAAAAAGGCAAAAGGGAAAACAACAACAACAACAACAACAAAAATAAACATATTGATAGTAAAAGGATAAATTTTTTTTAAATAATGTAATTAACCCCCAAATATTTAACATCAAAGATGATATGCCTAACAGAAATAATGGAATACTTAATGCCTTTCAGATGACACTCAAATATAGTATCTAATGAATCAATGAATAGGTGAGTGAACTCCAGGTCTTTATGTTGTAATTACTACTTAACGATGTAAAGAAACCATTAAATGCATGAATTGGATTAATTACTGCCATAATAATTATATAATTAATCACATGTTAAGCAAAATTATAAAGCATCATTAGAAAGTTAGAGAATGATGTACTAAAAATGAATTCCTAATTTTATAAATAGAATTTAGCTCTTAATGAACAAATACACCATGTTTAAATTTCAAGCTTTCATTCAAATACTAACGTTCTTATTTCCTTAAAGCACTGGAATATGAAACTTTTGGATTATTATAGATGAAATAAAGAGTAAAAAGTCAGGGATGACACCAACAGCGAACCTTGATGTAAACTATAAATTTCAAGTGATAAAGATGTGTCAATGTAGATTCATCAGTGGCAGCAAATGTATCATCCAGAGTTGAAATGGTGAGAGTAAGGAGGTCTGTGCACGTGTGGGGTGGGTGGTATACAGGACCTCTTGGTATTTTCCACTTAATTCTGCTGTGAACCTAAAACTGCTCTGAGAAAAATGTTACATTAAAAAAAAATCAAACCACAAGGACATTTGCTACATCCACTTTTAAAATGATAAAGTATGATTAATATATTGATGAAAATACAGTTAAAATAATCAGAAAAAGGATGAAACATGAAAGATGTTTTAATATTTGAGAATTTTACAGCTTTTCTTAAAATATGCATCTTTTACTTTTCTTATATAATTACAAAGTAGAGAAATCTGAAAACACTGCAGTATAGTAAAAAGAGTGCATTTCAGTGATCTAGAGTTACAAATTATACCACTTACAAGTTATGTGACCTTAGGCAAATCACCATGCTACACTCTGCATAGCATGGTGCCAAGTTCACAGGTGACATTCAATAGAAATGATACTGCTACACTAATGAGCCTACATGGAATGCAAATCAGCTCCAGTTCTAAAAGACTGAGATGTAAAAGAATTATTAACAATCACAGTCAGTATTCATTTGTGATGTCACAATACACAAGATACTACATTATGTATTATAGACAGACACAACGTGAATTCACAGATGAACAAGAAATGGAACTAGCTAGTCAAGAAACACTTAGCAGGGCTGGGGATATATAGCTCCTTGGGTCCAAGCCACAGCGCCACACACAAAAAAGGGACACTTAGCTATTATGTAGCACATTACAATTATGAGAGGTAGAAACTATCTAGAAAATTAAAAAGCAGAGAAAATTAAAAAGCAGAAAGACTTTACCTTCTCTTTTGCCAAACCACTTTCTGGAAAGAAAACAGAAAGGGAATATTCATAGCCACATCTCTGTAAGTGATCAGCCACTATAGAGTTCGAGGCGCCTATTAAGAGGGTACTCCCTTCCACTGAGATGGACTGAGGCTGAAGCACTCCACTCAATACAGGGTGCATCAATTCACGGATTAGCTGGTTTCTGAGTTGTATCTGTGCAAAACAAAACAAAACAAAGCAAAATATAAAAGAGAGAGGAGGGAAGACAAGAGGAAAAATTTTTCAGGTTTGCTTCACTAGAGATACATACAGATTTGTCTCCACTGGAATATTTTTTATTTCCAGAATGGTTCTAATTCCATGGCCACAAGTGAGGAGCTAAACCCTGTACAATTTGTCTGACCTGGTGAGAAAAGCAGTCCAATGGTTTCAGGCCAAAGCTTTCTCTTCTCAGCTCCCAGGTGAACTCAGCCAGACCACTTGTGGATTCTTAACTTTGCTTCCCTAAGAGCACAGGTGCTTGTGATTGGAATCAAGTAAAGGAGAACGTCGGATAACATCACACCTCTGTGGATTGCTGGAGGCTGTGCAAATACTGTTGGGTCAAAGCAGTTTATTGGGCACACTGATCAAAGTAAAACTGGGTTCTCAAAAGGGAGAAGTTAGTAAGCTCAAAGGAGGCCCTGGGTTCAGTCCTCAATACCAAAAAAAAAAAAAAGAGAGAGAGAGAGAGAGAGAATGTATTTGTATATAGAATATTAACATCTCAAGCCATCGTTAAGTATGATAATATTTTCACAACTTATAAATCATGAAATTTAGGTTCCCAGTAGGTAATTTTCTCAAGGTGATAGCACTGGCATTATTAACCATTTGGATCTTAAGAAAATCCCCTAAGTTAAATGGACTACTGAATGTTTGTTGTCATCTATTTTGCATATAACTTGGAAATATACAATTGGGTGGACCTCAAGAGCAAATTTTTTTTTTTTTTTTTTGGTTTTTCTCCGGTACCAGGAACCGAACTCACGACCTTGCGCTTGCCAGGCAGGCGCTTTGCCGCTGAGCTAAATCCCCAGCCCCTATGAGCAAATTGACAGAAAAGATGTGAACCTCATCAGTAAGCAAAAGAATGAAATATTAAAACAACAGGTTTTCCAATTTTAGACAGTTAAAAAGTATAATGATAGTAATATTAAGAGTGAAACAAACATTCCTAAACTGATGGAACATAAACTAATACAATCTTTCTATAACAAGATGTACACATCAATAACCTTAAAAATTGCTTACGTTCTTTGCCTCAATACTGTGATTTAATCTATGCTAAGCAAAAAATGAAAAGTGTAATCTAAGATTATGTATAGACTTGAATATAAACTAAACATTCAACAACAGGGAACTGCAACCTAAATTACTCATATGTCCAAAGATGAGTCTACTGCTACTGAAAAGGAAGATTTCAAGAAATTTAAGGCAACAAGAAAATGCTCACCATATAATTTAAAACAAGATATACAGACATTCTACCAACTGTGGCTGAATTAGACATCATTTTCCTCCGTCTGCTTTTCTATACTTTTCAGACGAATCTGTTTTTATGAGGTTACAAAACAATGGGCAAGAGGGTGGGACCAATCAGGATTACTTTTCCTTATTTCCTACTTCACACTTTTGAAATGTATATTGTAAACAAACTGAGCTAATCCTACTCTTGTTAAAATATAAAATGTACTAATACCTATCTGCTGTCCATAATAAATGCTATTTCCCAAAATATTTTAAGGGAAAAAATGTCATTCTTCAAACTGTTCTATTGCCGGGCGTGGTGGCAGCACAGAAGGCTGAGGCAGGGGGGATCACTGCAAGTTGGGAGGCCAGGCTGGGCTCCACAGTGAGTTCAAGGCCAGCCTGGACTATAGAGCAAGACTGTGTCTTTTAAAAAAAAGTGTCAAACTGTGCTATAGTAAGCAGTACACTTAATATTTTCTATATGGAGTTAATGGCTTTCCTCAAACGTATTACAAAACCACCTATTTATTGAGGAACTGACATACCAGATTTATGAAACAAATCTAACCTTACTAAAATGTGTTCATTATGTGTTATCAGTCCTATCTTAATGTCAGCTCCATAAATCTATTATTTGAATGGGTTCTTTTAAGATGGCTCAAACTCAACATTTTCCATATAAACGTATGAATCGCCACTACAATCCATACATCATCCTACTTTTAAAACCACAGCTCTGGATAAATTCAAATGTGGACTATTTGTCACAAGTTGCACTTGTAAAACTATGGCACAGATATGCCTAAATCTGATACCTTTAACGTGTCCAGTACACCCCGTTCCTTAAACGTCTGGTATAGTTTTTTGCGCAGTTCATCTTGACTCAACACATTCTTGGGAGGCATGATGGACTGCAAGAGAAAATGGTTTCGAGTTACCTGGAGGGCAGAGGGGAAGTGAATTTCTGGACACAGGCCAGCGGCCGCAGGGGAAGCCCTAAGATGCCCATACGGGTAAAGAGCTCTAACGGATGTAAACAAGAGACTTCTCTCCCGTGGGTCCCGGAAAGTGGCAAATGCAACTACCTGAGCCATTACCAGGTCTCCGCTTCCTCGCGACCCTGCCCCGCTGTGACCCGATTCCAGGCCTAATCCAGCCGAGAAGGAATCCCTGCCTTCTGAGCCCTTATCCGGGGGCCCGGAGGAACAGAGGAGAACGTTCCAGCCTAGCAGACGTTCCAGCCTAGCGCTTCGAACTGGAACTCTAGTAAAGACGCTCACTCCCTCTCTCCGCGGTTCTGCAGGGTAGGCGAGGCCGTGATCTGGGCGAGACTCTCAAAGGCAGCAGCTCAAGGGCGGAGAACCAAAGGGAAAAGCCCAGCAGCGAGGAAGGACCGTAAATTTCCTCCGGTCAGAGTCCATTCCGGCCCTCTCTGAGACAGCAGGAGCGTAGCCGCCTTTGTCGAGACTGCCACGGCGCATGCGCAGCGTGAACCCCAAGTTCCACCCACGTCTCGCGATAGCTCATTCACATAGGCTATCTCGCGATTCCTGCTCTTGGAGTAAGGGCTGAAGCTGTGAAGCGCGGGTCTCAGACCCAAGAACTGTCTGGGCGTTTCCTTTGTCTGCGTCTCAAGACAGGTAGGGGTTGGATGGAGGGGGGAGGGCAGGCGCTCTGAGTCTCTGGGGGACGTCCTAGGTCCCGCGTGACGCGGACATTGGCCTTCTACCTCAATCCTGGCCAGCCCTACCTGGCCGAGCCACACCCCGTTTCGACCTGCAGATGTCCGTCTTTGGGAGGCTTGGTTTTCACTAGTCATTCAGCTAATACAGTGTTTCTTTACCGTGGCACTGTTAACCAGAACATTCTTCGTTGTAGGAGGTAGTCTAGTCCTGTGCATTGTAACATGTTAACAGCATGCTCCGTCTGTATCTATTAATGCACAGCGCTTCCAGGCGCGCTGTTGTGAAAACCAAAACTGCCTCCAGACGTTGTCACATGTCCTCAGGGAGGCGGAACCGAACTTTACAATACTCACTTTTGTGTGCTGTGAGAACGATAAAGTTTTTGAGCCGGTTCGCCAGGATAGTTAAATCTAATTGGGAAGCAAGGGAGCGAAATCTTGCGGAACCAATAATGAAAACATTACAGCCTGCAAATAGAACAAGAATTCAGGTGCATTGTAGGTAGGGCAAAGAGTTTGGGAAAAGGAGAGGCAATTGAATATGGAAGTGGTCAATGCCAGCTCTGTGAAAAAAAAGTGTGACTTGTCAGTGCCTTGATTAGAAAGATTTAGATAGTGTACAAAAAAGAGAACATCGCAGAAGAGAAAGTGAGCAAGGGAATTAAAAAGTCAGGACGCTTCTGGAGGCAGTGGAAATTCTGGTTTGACTCCAGGGTTGCCTGCTGGGGATATAAGGTGTCTTAAGCCCTACCTATGAGGACAGAATTGGGTCAGTGTCAGCTTTGTGCACAGCCCTGAAGAAGAGTACAAGTTTTGATCTCTGGCTGTGAAAAGTTTAAAGTATTTCAGAGACAGCAAGAGTAGCACACTTCATAGGAGGTGGCCAGCCTGTCGGGTTTTTTCTTTTTCTTAGTCCGTGTTTGCAGCACATAATGATTACATTCGTTGTGGGAAGTTGGTTTTTATGTTCATACCACGTCGTAATTCTTTTTCAATCCCTCTTCCCTTCTACTCTTCTCCCTCTGGCCTTGGGTATCTTCACCTTTTGCAAAAGGTCTATCTTCCTGTTCCCTATTATCTTTTTTTTACTCTGTAATTTATTAATAGTTTGGATTTCTCATGTAAGAGAAGTCATTCGATATTTAAGCTTGTGTGTCTGATTTATTTCATTTAACATTATGACTCAAAGTGCATCCATTTTCCTACAAATGACTCAAATTTATCCTTCTTTATGCCAGAGCAGTCATCTATTGTGTATAAATACCACATTTTCTATATCCATTCATTTGTTGATGGACATGTAGGCCACTTCCAAGATTTATAAATTGTACTGCTATAAATATGGGTATGCATGTATCACTGTAATATGATGTCTTTAACTCTTTTGGAAAGATACCTAGAAGGGGAATAGCTGGGTCAAATGGAATTTCTGTTTGTAGTTTTCTGAGGAATCTCCACACTGATTTCCATAGTGGTTGTACTAGATTATATTCCCACCAATAATGTAGAAGGACCTTAGGTTTTACTGGAAATAATTGTGGAAGAAAGACTTTGTTGGACTTTAAAGGATGGGTAAGGTTTGGACACTCAATCAGGAAGAGCAGTCCAAGTACAAAGAGAGAACCAAGGAAAGTCGCTCTAAGTATAACACTGCTATAATTAAAGTGATTTTCAGAGAAACGATAAGTAGACCTGTCACCTCTAGCAGAGGTGAGCAATAAGATTGAAGGAGCAACATGAGAATCTGTTTTGAGTAGTACTACATGACCTGCAGCTGAGAAATATTAAGGCATTTGAGCAGAATAGTGAAATGATGAAAACAGTTTTCTAGAAAGGTAATATGAAGCAGGGTGTGGTGGTTTAATTCCAGCACTCTGGGAGGATCTCAAATTCAAGCCCAGCCTGGGCAATTTAGAGACTTAGGGAGACCCTGTCAAAAGGGGAGAACGCAGGGTATAGCTCAGTACAATATTAAAGTGTTGGAAATACTGTTAAAAAGTCCACTGATTTTTTAAAAAGCATCAGTGCCTGAAGACACTCTCACATCCACCCCTACCTTTGGTCCCAAAGTTGAATAGAATTAGAGTAAATGTTCCCCAAAAGCCAGCATAAACTTGGCAAAAGTGGGAACTGCTTATAATATTAATAGGAAATTTTCCTATTAGAGACCTTTCAATAGTGTTCATACTGCTCCTTGTCATTTACATAGACATATCTTATGCCACACCACTTCAGTCTGGCAGCCCCAGGCCTGTGGAACAACTGAAAGAAACCACTGACTGCTGTCGAGAGCACAGGGCAATTTTCTAGAAGTCCCTTTTGAAAGGCTATAAAGAGTTTTGCTATTAAAAAATGGATGGCTTTGGAACTGCAGTTCGTGAGTTTTGTCTTGTATTTGCCTGCAACTTACAATTGCTAAGGGTTGGAAACTTTTAAGTTCTTTGAGTTCATTCTCCCACTCTGGTGGTAGTGGTCCTCTGCCTGCCCCTTACTCATTTTTGGCTTCCTGGTAATTTCAGATGAGCAGCCCTGAGCTTGGCTTGTTGAGAAGAGAAGAGTGCAAAGTTAGCAAAACTACCAAATACAGAGTTGACCCTCATATGGGGCCTGTACTCCCCCAAACCCGAGCAGACATGAATAATTGATCACTGTGATTTCCTGCTGACTGCACTGACTTCAGATTCTTTCTCAGCACCAGTTCCTGGCATTTGCTGCGAGGTGATAAGAATTGGCAAATAAAAGAAGCCTTTTGCCATCCCTAGTCAAATCGCTTTTCTATTAAAACAGCCTATTTAAAAATAGTATTGTGCTATATCTCCCCACCAAAATGGTCTTTTTCTGTCTTACCTTAAACATCCTTAGTTTCTTTACTTCCTGTTTTGTTTCTAGAGCATTCCCTAGGCTGGATCTCACCCTCTGCACTCACACATTTTTTTAGAGTTATTGATCCTTTTAAAATGTTGTTCCCAGAACTGAGTACTTCCTCAAAGGTGGTGTTATTAGTAAAGAGGATGTCAGCACTTTCCCAGCCTTGTGTGGACATCTCTTTCCCTTAATGCAGCCTAGAATTACTTTAGCTTTTTTGACCACCATACTGCTGCCTCTTTATGAGCTTGCAGTAAATTAAAACTTTGGGCTTTGTGCAGATGAATTACTCTTAATCTAGGTTTCTTTCTTCCTCTTGATTTTTTTAAAATTCAATACCAGGCTCTTTTTTCATCCTCTTAAATTACATCTTGTTAATTTCATCTAACCCTCTTAGCCCTAGAGATCTTTTTGAGTCCTAACTTATGCCTTCTAATAAATTAGCTACCCTTAGCATTATCTTTGAATGTGGAGAGTTATCTTGATCCAAGTTATAGACTTAAATGCTGATCTGGACTAGGTTAAAGTCAACCTCAGAGGCTCCCTAGAGACCCTGGGCCATAAACTGACATAGAACGTTCCATTTCTTTAGGTATTAACGCACAAGTAAGCTATGAATGGTCCCTTCTCCGGCAAATAATGAGTGCTTACTGGACCCCTGGCATTGTTGTAGCTCTGGGGATGCCACAGTTAACAAGACGAACAGTGTATGTGCTCTTATAAAGGGCACCAGTCAAGCAAAACTGTGCATATTCATCCAGGCTAGCTACGGGTCTGCAATTTGTTCTTAGGTAGACACCAAAATATCTCCAAATATGATATATTTTCTATCATATTTTCCTTCCTAAATAAAAGATGTAAGTTTGACATGGCTTGTTCTCAGTATGTGAATGCATAATAACTTACTCTGTGTCCTGCAGGGATTCCTATTAAATTAGTTAATGTATAATAGAAGCTCCTGGCATGTCTGACCAAAACCACAGGTATTTAATACATATTTCTCTTTATTCCCAGTTACAGACAAGAACCCGTTTTTCTGTTTCTGAAAATAGGAATACTACTTAACCTGTCTCTGAGGGCATGGCACTTTTCTGCCTATGATTTCTCACATGTCAATCAACAGTAGATATACAATCATATTTGTTAATCCAAAGGCCTGAACACTGAATCTGTCAAAATGCCCAGATATTTTTTAATGGACCTGCCTTGATGTTTGCGTCCTGCCTAACCTGGTTGTTTCTATGCTTGCTTTTGAAAGCCATTCCCTTTAACAGGAACCTTTCAGTGTGTACCAACTGGTTAAAGCAGTTGAACTTTCTCCTGTCTGCTTTTTCCTGGTTGTAACCTAGAAAGGGTTTTGTTTTTCTTAAGATGTTTTACACACTTTGGTTCCTTGTGGGCTTTTGTCCCTCTGGTGCTGACCTCAGAGATTTCTGGTCCCATTCTTATGTTTATGACTAGTTAATGACTGACTTCCTACATTGTTTGTCTGTCCTCTATTGCCTCATATCACCAAGTTGTTTTTTAAAGTTATCTCCCTCTCAAAAAAAGCTCAAGCTGCCATAACCACCAGGGACAGGTGCTGTTTCCGTCACAAGTGAGAGTCCTGGCTCCCTTCTCATCAGCCGCCTAATCCAGTCCTTCTCGTGGGGAATTTCTTCATAGGCACCTTAACAAACTTAAGCAACTTCCCACGAAGGTGCTGTAGATCACCTGAACACACATGTCCTCCTTAGTTATCTGAGGCCTATGGCCTCAGCACTGGAGCTTTCAGAAGGTTCTTTTAGTGTGGAGGCTCCTAAAACCTCACCCTGCCTCTCATTCCAGCATCGCAGGCAGCAGCAGCTGACGGACATCACTGTCTAGGCTACAGCCCCTGTCTGCAGTTCCATTCTGCAAGCATTACGTGCCCTTGTTCTTCACACCGACATCCTCACATTGCGGTGGTTATCCTCACATTAATGTGCTGCGGCCACCCCCGATGTCTGCCTTGTGCTTTGAAAACCCTGCCCCTGGCAAAGAAACTCCCTTTAGTTCCCACTCTCTTCGCAGAATGTGTCTTCTACCCATGTACTGACACTGCCTTGAATGTTTTCTTACTTTCTTCTCAATCTACAGGTTTTTCAGCTTTATCATGTGTGCGAGATTCCTACTGCTGCCTTAATAAATTGCTACAGCTCCAGTGGCTGAATGCAGCACAGATACCTTAGTGTTCTGTGGATAGAAATCTGGCATGGATCTCGCTGGGCTAAAATGAAGGTGTCAGCAGGGTTGTGCTTCTTTTGGAGGCTCTGGGAAGAATACTTTCTTCTGTTTTCCTGCTTCAAGAAGCCACCTGCATTCCTTGACTGTGACCCCTTTGATTTCAGAGCTATCGACGTTGCATCTCTGTAACTGTCCTTCTATACCCATTTCTCCCTCTGACTTTGCTCCTTTGCCTCCTTCTTCCACTTTAAGAGTGCTTGTGGTTCCACTGAGCCCAACTGGGTGATCCAGTATAACTTCCCTCTACCCTTTTTTGGGACAGGGTCTCGCTGTGTTCCAGGCTGGCTTTGAACTTGCCATGTAGCTCAGGCCGGCATTACACTCACCATGCAGCTTAGGTTGGGCTCAAACTCACTATCTTCCTGCCTCAGCCTCCCAGAGTGCTGGGATTATTACAGGCATGTGCTGCCACATCCAGCTTAATCTCTCTATTTTAAGATCATCTTTATTCCATCTGTAACCTTAATTTCTCTCTGCAAGGAACCGTAACATGCTCAATGGTTCCAGAGATGAGGACATGGACATCTCAAGAGGAGGCACTATTCAACATGGCCACCTAAACTAGGCATTTAGAAACCATCCTAGATTCTTCTCTTTCTCAATTTCCTAGTTTAATCTATTGCCAAGTTCTGTGTGGCTGCCTCCTCAACACTCTTAGGCCAGCCTTCCACGGGATGCTTCGGCACCCTCTATTTAAAGCAGTGGGAAAATTAAGCAGACACAAATATGTACACCTATGCAAACATTGGTACTTTAATCATAACAGTCCTTTATTTGTATCATTCATTTTATATATTGGAATTCTAAGTACTAACTTGGTTTGTAAGGAATTAGGAATCATTTATCTAGAGTTGAGCTGTCCCATATTGTACCCACTATCCACATACAGCTGTTTATGTTTAAAGTAAAATTAACTAAAAGATTCTGTTTTGCATTCACATTAGCCACATTTTAAATGTTTACTGGCTCCCACTCCAGACAGCACAGTTGGCGAACATTCCCATTGCTGCAGAAAGTTCAGTTTGGTGGGTAGCAGAGGTGGCTCTCATAAGCCTGCACGTAGCTGCTAAATGACTGAAAGCATTATCTTCCTGAGACAGTGGGGTTCTTTTGTCCCAGGATTTTAAGTTCTTCCACTTTACCTGTCATATTTCCCTTGGCAGAATTGAATGGAGAGTTATAAGCCTTCTAGCTTCTTGAGCTGCTTACAAAATCAAATTATTTGCACCTTAAGTCAAGGACAGAACGTATATAAAGAAGTCTCTGTCTCATTTGCCCAGCTGGGTAGTTTGTAACCGAACTTTCATGCATCTTTCAGATCCCTTTCTGTTCCTCTTTATGCTATACTTAAGCACTATGCTTCTCTCCCATGCGTTGATTCCATAAAGGAGCACGTGTGTGGGGATGAACGTAAGTTGACTTCCTTATACATATATTTCTTTGTGCTGCTTGGGTTTTTATTTTTCCTCTTGTGCTGCTGCTTAAATGTGCTGAAGAAAATAAGCCCTTCCCTTGGCCAGCTGCGGATCTAAAGCCCATTCCAGTAAGAATTCATATCATCGTTTACTTGGTTCACATTTCACGTTCCCTTTCCTCTTTACCTCACTTTCTCTGGAGAATTATTACAACTTCTCCTAGTTTTGCATAGTTTTAATATATTCTTGCTTGTCTTTGTTATCCAGTTTTACTTATCTTTCCCCATAAACAGAGACAAACTTTTTCTGCATGAGCTTAGATAGTAAGTAGTTTTACTTATCTTTCCCGATAAACAGAGACAAACTTTTTCTGTATAGGCTTAGATAGTAAATATTCTTGGCTTTGTGGGCCAGATGGCCTCTGTTGCAGCTGCTTAGCTCTTCCATTGAAGAGCGAGAGCAGCCTTTAGATAGTAAGGAGGATGTATGAGGCTAGATTTAGCCTGCACTCTACAGTGTGCTGACCTCTGCTCCAAATAAATCCTATTCATCATGCCAAGAGTCTCCTAGCTGCCTTTTCTTCCAGTCATAGCCTTCTAATTTGAGCTGAAAGTGCCAGATGTGGCCTAATTTCCCTTTACAAAATGTTTTACTCTTTAAGAAACAGATGTCTTCTGATTATGCTGTAGGTTCTGAGTAAATCAGCAGAAGGCCCAATGAGGCTTGGTGAATCTTGGGTTCGACCCACATCAGGTGTCCAGGAGGCTGACTAGACACTACCAGTTAACTAGATTCCTACTCCATGTTGACAAGTTACTAGCTGCCACATCCTGGTATGCACAAGCTTTTCCATGTTATTCTAATAACATTTATTGAACACTTACTGTGAGCTAGGCACCATGCATTAGATTTTCATGCTTTGCAGGCATTAGACTGTGGAATTTTCATGAGTATATCACAAAAGTTGCTACAATGTTATCTTTTGTGCAGCTGAGGAAACAGACATCATGAGATTAAGATGGTCACATTGCTACTAAGAAACAGAGCTATACTTGAACCTAACTTTGTCTGACTCCAAAGCCCCTGTGGTAAAAATGTACACATGTGTAAATCCATCCATCCCCTCCTGCCCAGCCATCATCCATTTTTCTATTTATCTGTGTGTCCATCCACCCATCCATCTACCAGTCCAGCTTTTGGATGATCTATATTAAAAGCCATGTAATCACTAATTTTTTTCTCTAAGTTTCTTATAGTATTTTTCTTTGGTCAACCTGATAACACTTATTTCTAAGACCTTTCAGCATCTCAGAATATCTTTTTCTATTATTTCATCCATTTTTTCTTTTCTAGACCATAAACCTCCTTACTTTCAGGTGTATAAAGAGTCGTATCACAGGCTCTTGCATGGGTAGGCATTTAAATTCCAGCACACATCCTTCAGGTAGAAAGAAGAGGAATATAGTACACAATCTGTAGATAAATGCTACAGAGTCTCCTGTGTAAATGATATGTGTACAGTTGTATTAGCTTTCTCTGAATGATGCCTCTTAGAAGCATATAATAATACAGTTGTATTAGCTTTCTCTGAATGATGCCTTTTTGAGACAAGTTAATTATTTCCTTTGCCTTTTCCACTTTCAATTGCACTTAACTAACCAATACTCTCTATTCACCTTTCTGGGTGTTAATGTTAATACTAACCAGTCCAGTCCAAATTAAGCCTGGGTTACTCCATGAGACACATAGGGACTCTTGAGCTGACTGGCCTGAATTTTTAGGTCATGAGAATGTTGTCATTTTTATTTTATAGTAGAGGTTCTCCGGTTCTCTCTGTAGATATGGTACATTGAATTCTATAGGATGCATCCCAGGTGTCTAACTTGAATAGTCTGGAAGTTGTATGTCTATCATAGTTATACTGGAAAACAAGCCAAATGTAAGCTAAGAAACAAAGGATTCTGGACTTTATGTTAATCATGTTTGGATTTCAGTATTGAATACTAAAAATGTGTATTGCTTTTCATTTATTAGGAGCCATACATTTAAGACAATGTCTGGAAGCTTCTACTTTGTAATCGTTGGCCACCACGATAATCCAGTTTTTGAAATGGAATTTTTGCCAGCTGGGAAAGCAGAATCCAAAGTACGTATGAAATCTTAAATTACATAAGAATTTTTACACTGATGTAATGATGTGCTATGACATTAGACCTGGAAGATCTGGATAGATGCGGCAACTGAAGTCCACCACCATTAAATGAGGCTCTCTGGAGTCTCGCAGACTGATAGAAGCTAGCCAAGGAATGCCTATGAGGTTGTTTATGTGGCCTTTAATTCAGCACGTACTTAGACTAGCGTGATGCCCAGGTCTCTTTCCCATGATGTTCTGTTCACTGTGTCACCCACTAGGAAATGCTCTTCCATACATGGACACATCATCTACCTTTAGTGAGTGTGGAAGAACAATCATTGTGGCCTTGACAAGCCACGGATGTCCGTTCTGTTTTAATGAATCGCACTTTTCATGGGTATGGACATAGTAGATCACTTTATAGCTGAGAGGATTAAAAGAGACTCTCATATTGTCCTGGTGCCACTAGGTCTTCAGCCCTTGGTTTCCAGTGACTTCTGTAGCACTGCCTGGCTGGATGACGTCTGCATGGCCTCCTCCCCAGTGACACCCTCGCTGTGCTCAAGGAACTCTGAAGGTAGCCCCAGAGGTGAAGCCCCCAACTTTCTGATTGCCTGGAGTGGTTTCAGAGAAATGAGCTTTGTTCAGGGGCGTTAACTGCCATTCAGAGTAAACAGTCATAGAATCAGTCCCTCCCATCTGTTTGTACTAGTCCGCATGCCTAGTAAGTTGCTGACAAGTATGCTGTGTCTCTCCCAGCCTCGACAAATAGGCTTTAATGTCCTTTAAGACAAGGGGTTGGTTTTGTAAATTAGTCATAATGCACAATCTTAAGTGTAATATGCTCTGCAAATGTTCACTTCTTATCACCAAAGTGCAATACTCTTGTCTAAGGTATTCTACCAATTGTTGTTGCTATATAATTTTCCTGTATTCTTATGAGAGTACGGCTTCTCATTAAAACTTTGTTTTGAGGTATTTCTGTAGCACTAATTGCTTCATGGGACATTACTACTTGTGTACAGTTTCTGTGCACTACAGTAGGCTGATGGTAGACAAAACAGCACGTATAAAAACAATCACTGGACTTGGTTTTAGTTCTCTTTCCTGGTACGGCTCACCTTCTTAAAGTATTTCTACTGTTTGCGCCCAGTCTTTCAGAACTGATCACTTTTTAGTCTTTTGAAAAAATTTTTATTAGTACATGTTTGCACAACATAGTGAAACATTCCTCGTCAGGGTGGGTACATGTACATAATACATTCTTTTCACTTCTGCTTCCCTCCCTTTCAAGAGTGATCATTGTAAAGTCATGGAAAGTACTGCTGGGAGCTAGGGACAAAATACATCCCTTTTCTGTAAGGATTCAGTTAGTTTGCCATGGTGACATGAGTGAAGTAAACATACTTAGCCATATGAGGGATCCTAGGGCAACTAGCAGCCTCCCTCCAGCCCAGTCATGGGAACAAACTCCTCAGGAAGAAGGTTGTGCTGGTTTCCTGTACCAAAACCTGAGTGGCTTGAAACAAAAAATTTATTCTTACAGACCTAGGAGGTTGTCTTAGTTATTTTTTCTCATTGCTGAGACAAAATACCCAGCACCAAAAGTTAAAGGAGGAAAGGTTTATTTAGCCCCCAGGATGTGAAGGCTTCAGTCCATAATCAGCTGGCTCCAAGGCAGAGTGGCATGGCAGAGGGCATGGCAGAGGAGAAACAGTCCATGGCAAAGCAGGGCAGGCAGAAGGCAGCAAGCAGTAAGTGACAGAAGACCCAAAACTTTCTTTCTGCCCCTTATATCTTATCCAGGCTACTCACCCTTAGGTCAGATAACACTCACATTCAGGATGGAGCAGCCTTATCCTGCCCAGAACTGTGGCAAACCAATCAGTGGACTGATTTAGTAATCACACACCCTTGACCCCAGCATCACACACTCCAGATCCTGCCACCTCCGTAAAGTCTCACCTATGACTGCATAGGTTTGGAGGCGGGGGGCGGGGCGCATCTAGAATGAAACCATAACAAGGGTAGAAGTCTGAAGTCAAGGTGTCAGCAGGGCCATGTTCCCTCTGAAGGCACCAAGAAAGGGTTCATTCTGGGCCTCTCTCGTAGCTATTGGTAATTCATGGCTTGTGGCAATTGTAACACATGGCATTCTCCCTATGTGCGTCAGTCTCCAGAGCTCCTGTTTTTATAAGTACATCAGTCATATTGGGTTAGAGGCCCAGCATAAGTAACCACATCTGCAGTGACCCTCTCTAAGGCCACATTCTGAAGCTTTGGGGCTTGGGACTTCAGCCTGTGAATTTGGGGGAGGGCATAGTTCAATCCATAACAGGTACTCACTGAAAGTACATTTTGAAAATAAGAATTCTGGGCTGGGGATATAGATCAAGTGGTAGAGCACTTGCCTAGCCCTTCTGAGGCTATGGTTTCAGTCCTCAGCACTGTAAAAGTAGGAGAAGAGAGAATTCCATAGGGGTAAGACTGTGTTCTAAGTTCTAAATTTCTTCTCTATATTATGGTGGATCAGTCCTATCTTCCAGTTAAGCCATATCACCCTAGCACAAGGACATTCCCAGTTCTAACAGGACTGTCCCCTGCTGACGTAGATGACTGCTCACAGGTGGAGCTGAGGGTAGCCTTGCGCCAACCCCAGATCCCTGTGGTATAAGCTCCACTTACCTGAAAGAGGCCTCTATGCAGCCATCATTTGTCTCTGCTGCTTGCGTCTCTGGTGCCACTGCTCGGAAATCTGACCCTCCCTGCTTCCTCTGGCCAGTGCAGCCCAGTGCCTGGCACTACTCCTCTACAGCTTTCCTTCACCGCCTCCTTGGGCCTGGGCTCCCTAGGGTGCTCTCCTGAATCGACAACCACTGACACATAGTTTATATCTTCCTTCTCTAGTAAGATATGAGCTTCTCAAAAGCAGGATGTACTTTTCCTTGTGTGTGTGTGTGTGTGTGTGTGTATATGTCATTTTAAATGTAGTACTCTGTTTTCACATACTTAAATGGTTACAGAATTTGATAACTATCTTCTTGTTAACACTAAAAATATAATTTTCTGTGTACTTTCTGGAGCATAGTTATTAACCGGTTATTTCTGTTCTTATTTAGTTTTAGGTATCAGAGTAAAATGTGAGAACTGTAGGAAACCAGAGGTTTTTATGTCTCCTGATGATAAGTGAAGTAAAAGCAAGTAATGTTTTGCCCTCGTGACAAAACCACATATAGAATTTACAGAATGAATGGTTGGCATTCCTGATGCTACATAGAAATGTTAATCTGTTGCTGCTGTCTGTCATCTAGGATGATCATCGTCATCTGAATCAATTCATTGCTCACGCTGCACTCGACCTTGTGGATGAAAACATGTGGCTTTCAAACAACATGTACTTGAAAACTGTGGACAAATTTAATGAATGGTTTGTGTCAGCATTTGTCACTGCCGGTCATATCCTTACCTTATTAGTAAAGATATTTAACTAAAGGTGGGTGAACAGACTTACAAGAATATGGAACACAGATGGCCAGGTTCTGAAGCTATAGATGTCAAGGAGTCGGGTAAAAATGTCAAACTTTCCATTTGTAGGGCTATTTTTATATCTATTTCCTAACTTTAAAAGGGTTATACTCTCTTTATGATAAAGCTAAGTTGATTTTAAACCCAGTTTGTGTTCAACTTTTCCATTGCAAAATACAGTGCATGTGACTGACAAAGAATAGAGTGTCAACTGATAGCTTTTCAGTTTTAATAGATTATACCTTAATTATTCCACATATGAGATTTATTATGCTTCACGATGTAAGGCAAGAAGATGGAATAAAGAACTTCTTTACTGATGTTTATGATTTGTATATAAAGGTATGGTATGTCCTATAATTTTTTAAAATCTAGTTATAAAAAAAGAATTCTAGCTTTGACAGGAAACTGGCCTGTTTAAGTAACTCCCTTACGCTGGATAGTTTTCATTTCAGATTAGCTTTCAGCAAATCAGAGCTAGCTCTGCCAACTTTCTCAGCAAGCAGGTCTTCACCGCTAACATGTAGTCAGGAAAACCACCCAGGGTAGATGTTTTTTTGTTTTTTCTGGTAGATGTTTTTAAATGATTGTGAAGGGAAATCAGTGCCATTCTTCCTCTTTTGCTGCATATCACTGAGTTGGGGAACCCTCAGGAGAGCAAGGAAACAGCCTACATAAAGGAAATTTGCTTTATATCTAAAATGTTTCTATCTCATTTACAAATAAGTTACAATGCAATGGATGCAGATCATAAACTGGCAAGAAGTGATGATTCTTACATCATGAAGTAGTTATCCAAGGAGAATAGTGCACCTACATTTGATAGTGAAGTGAGAAATAAAATAGTAACATGATGTCAGGGTTAATGTACAATGCTAATAACAGTTTGTTCTTAAATATGTTCTATATCTGGGCAGGATTTCTTACATATCAGCACAGTAATAAAATTGAAAAGCCAACATTTCTAGTCAAAGGTTCCAAATAAGAATGTTTAACTCTCTTTAAAGATGGAAAATATCAAGTAATTGAGATGTAAAAATCGGTAATTCCATTCCTCCTTAGTAATTCCATTTAATATTAATTTTTCTCACATCTGTTATGATGCACTTACTACTTTAGATAAGGAACTGATTATTTAGCTTTCTGTTAAACGAGGATATTTAAAGACCTGATTTAAAAACTACTGCACAAGTGTAAATCTTTCTTAACGCTGAATATATGGCAGACTTTTTCTGAGTTTATGTACTCCACAGTGCCTTACAGATCAGCCCATGTGTTTATAACAAATACAAGTAGATTAGTACCGTGTCTCACACACAGGTTGAATCCAGGAAGTTACTTTAATTTACTCAGACAATAATACCTACCCTACTACCATTAGTTTTGCTACAGACAGTTCTCAAAACTAAAACACCAACACAAAACTTTCCTTAAGGAAACAGTGTTTAACAATGGAAGATACACACAATGACTCTTCAAAATGTAGTGCTCAGTTTTTTGTTTTGAATGTCTTTGATTTTTAATTTAAAAGTTTAAAATAATTTCAAGACCTACGAGTTTTCACTCTTTTTGCTTTGACAAGCTCACTAACACCTTCTTCTTTCCTAGTTTGCAATGAATCCATTTTATGAACCCAACTCTCCTATTCGATCAAGCGCATTTGACAGAAAAGTTCAGTTCCTTGGGAAGAAACACCTTTTAAGCTGAATGCAGAAAAATTTTAAAATAAACAGTGTCACAATGGTATATGCTCAGGAATGTGTACCTTGTAAGTAACTTGATTAAATAGCCTAGAAAACTTTTACTTGTCTCAGTTTATCAAAATGTAGTAGAACTTCTTTTACAATTTAAAAATAGTACATTCTGTTTCATCTTAGTTATCAGTAGTATTTGCTTGTGAAGTATTATTTATAGAGTTCTTTATCAATAATTTTGAAATATTTGAGAAGTTTTTGACTGTCCTTATTCAGATAGTTTGACGTTGATATAGTAAGTCAAAAAACAAATGTCATAGTCAAGATTTGGTAGACAGATTTAAAACTAAACGATGTGCAGAAGGAAGTGAAATTGATTGCACATACAATGACTTATTTGTGCATTTGGAGATATACTATAAACATAAACACAGCACTACCTAACAAGCTGAAGCAAGACACTTTTACAGTCTAAATGTTGTATACCTGCTTCTATCAGAGACTGAGAATAGTGGTAATCACTGCTATAATTTTAGGATCCTGGAGCCGCATGTGTACAGTGGACCACAGTTACATGGTGAAATATGTTGCCTCTGTCACTGTATGTTCTTGTATTTCCTTTCAGAAAGTGAACTGGGACTTGAGTAAACCGATTTCTATCTGTACTTGTAAAAAGTTGTAATGCAATTTAAGAACTATTATTAAAGAAAAGTTTGCATTACATTAACATTTGCACTTGGCTTTTTAGCTGTACGTTAAAGGAGGCCAGTAGTTGTCTCTTCTGTACTATACTAAGTGTGTGAATTCAATGTAAAATTATGAATATCTATGGAAAACTAAGTAATACAACCAGATATTTTCTGTGCTTTTTATGAGCACTTGAAGAATTTTGTTCTGTTCTGAATGGCTTTTGAGCAAATAATTCTAAGCTTGGTCCTATATCCTTGCATGTAGTTGGTGCCATCAGTTTTTAGTCTTATTTATTTGATTTCTTAAATAAAGATGTTTGTCCAAAATTGTGGTAGTCTGATATCCAATTTTAAAGTGCTGCGCAACACCACCATAGTTTCAGTCTGTTTCCCCCATTAAACGTCTGCAAACATACCTTAACCCATTAGACAGCTCATTTCACCTCCAGCTATGTGCCAGAGTTTTAGGAACAGGGAAGACAGATACTCGTGTAGAAGTCTGGGAATAATTACAGCCACGATGATGTGAGAGATCCAAACATGTATTTGTGGTATACAATTTGCCCCTCCTTCAATGAGCATATAACCCTGAGGGCTGTAATGGGAGCCAGCCAGGAGCAGTAGCATGTTACTGCAGGAAGCCATATGGGTGAGGAGCCTTGGGTTCAGGCTCCAGCTCAGGTTCGTGACAGTGATACACTGCAAATAGCCTTCCTTTACTCTAGGCTTGTGAGGGTGAGACAGGAGCTAGGAACACATACACTTTGTGAGTAAATGACCAACGCTAAATGCCAATTTCCACACGTAACTGCATCACTGAAGGAGCTTGGGGGAATCCAGCAAGGAACGGCACCTTAGAGGTGGGGCCACCCAGGGATGCAGCATTCCAAACACAGAAGTGTGGAGAAAGCATGGAGGCTGACAGGATGGAACCAGGACCTGAGCATTAGGAAAGTGAAGCTGGTAAATCTTGGATCTGGTAGGTGATGTCCTTGAACATTCTAGAGTGTAAGAGCAATGGGGTAAAATCAGTCCTAACAAAATCAGGCTACATTAAGTGCATGCATGTCAGCACAAGATTTATAATAACATCAGCACTCCAAAAGTGATCCAGGTAAAGTGTACAAATGTGGGTTTGTCCCCTCTATAGCTGGACTTCTCCTCCGCTGCTTCGTTCAGCCTGCATGTTTTTGTGTGTAGGTACTACCCATCTCTGCTACCCTCATGCTCTCAATTTCTCCATCATTTGAGCACTTCCTAATGGACAGTCTGTAACATCCCAGAAACCATTCAGTGTCCACACTACCTTTCAGTGGGTACTGCCCCGCTCTATTTTTCTACGTAACACTGTAGCACCTTACAAGACACACTGTGAGAGAACTTGCATCATGGTGTTGTAATACTAAAGTGAAAACTTAGATCTGTATAGAAATCGAAGAAGGTTTTCTTTTAAGGCGAGTAACAGCAGCGAGGCTTCTAACTAGGGCATTTTTCACAGGAGTAAAGGAAGTGGCAAGAACAGAAGTAATCCTTTGATGGGATTATGTTTCCGTCTTCGGCAGGCCACACTATAATTGCTACACCAGTCATCAAATACATATTTATCCATTCTCCAGGTCCAGTACATTGCTTTTTTCTTAAAACTGAACTGTCTCCAAAGGCTCTGTATTCACGCACAGCTTGAAACTAGCCGACAGACACATTCTACCGTGCCTTCAGTACCACTGGGGCCTCCCTCCCCCAAGGTATGAAGCATGACCTTCAGTTCTTCCTATCACCTATCTCCTGGGACGCTGGACATTGTTACCACGGCTGCCGCCCGGCGGCTTTATCCCTCACCTACCTTCTATTGTTTTTTCCGTGTTGCACGGGTAATTCCACCCATCAGTGTCTTGCTTTCTTCAAACCAAAGAAAACCATGAGATTTGCAGCTGCCTTTTGCTGCTGAAGAGCTTTTCAATCAAAGTTAATTTGTTTAAAGGGCAAACTATTCTGTGAGGTTCAATTCTTTGTCGTTATGTACTACTTCATTATTTTTTTTTCCCCCGGTACCAGTAATTGAACTCACGACCTTGCACTTGCCAGGCAGGCGCTGTGCCACTGAGCTAAATCCCCAGCCCCTGTACTACTTTATTACTGCTAGATCAGTATCAACTAAGAATGTTTGATAAACTGTCAGACATTCACACAGTAATAAGTGAGATAAATATACTATAGTAGAAATATGTTCAGATACATTGGGAAAAGGGCAAATTACCAGACGGTATAATTTCGACTTGTAAAAAAGTTTGTAGATCAAGTCTATAAAAAAAAACAAATGGAACAATAATATACTAACAGTCTGGTGAAGGGCTATTCCTATTTTATTTTTTACATAAAGGATTATAGCTGGGGGTGGGATTAGTTATAAACAAAACTAGAGCTCACTCTGACCTGAGAAAATGAAGATTGCCCCAAATTTAAAATGTACTCATATGACAAAACTCCCTTTTGTTAGGTAATTAGACTTTTAAAATTTTAAGCTTATCAATGTAATGTTTTCTCAAGTAGTTCCCAATGGGTGGGGTCAAGTCAATCTACTTTTTCAAATTCTACTCTTATTGTGGTTTGTGTTTAATATGCCCCCAAAGCTTCATGCAGTCATGGGTCGGGCTTCTAGAGTTTGTGATTCACATCCAATGCTGGGATTATGGGTGCGAGTGCTATACCCGCTCTGGGGTGGGTAGCCTTCATACAGTATAAGGGAGAGAAGGCTTGCATTCTGCTGCTCCTCCTTTTTGCTCTTGTTGCTTTTGCTGTTTTCCACCACCATGAACTGTTGCCTTCTGCCATGTGCCACTCTGCCTTGGAGCCAGCCAAGTATGGAGTGAAACCTCCATGAACTGTGAGCTAAGTAAACCATTCCTTCCTTAATTGTGGGTGTCAGGTATTTTGTCTCAGCGAGAGAAACGTAATGAAGACAACTCTCCTTGTGTGACATCTACTTACCCCATACTAGTATCTCCTTTAATAACCCCTCTTCTCTATGACTGAGGATCCCATCCACATAAACTGTAGAGGACCCTTTGATTTGCTTTCATAGGACTGTTGCAGCAAACATGAACTTGACCCACAAAAATCACAATCTACTTTATCAAGTCTGGTCACTGCAGGAAGTCCTCTTTTTAGAAGGAAAAATCTTGAGAGCAAATCACTGAACAATGCTGAACAGTGATGAAGACACCAAAAGTATACTCACTTTGGCAGCACAAATACTAAAATTGAAGAAGACACTAAGTATCTGAGTAAACCAAGACACCCTATTCTCATATAACCTCTCACAAAGTATAATTCTTATTATTTCCTCCAAGAGTAATAAAGCAAGCTTCTACACTGGAAAGGGGCAGGGGTGCCTACATGGCACACAAATGCAGAGCATTAGCTCAATTCTAATGAAACTGTGAATGAATAGGAAGAGTTCAAAATCATCTTAAAGAGATGAAGACGTACTCAAATCAAAAAGCAATACAATATAAATGCATTAGACTTTGATCTTTAATATTATAACAGTATTTCTTTAGATTTTTCCCTTGAACCAAGAACAGAATGCTAATTACATAAAAATATACACATAGAAAAGTAGTTCTCCCTTTTCCCGGGGGAAAAAAAAATCCAAGCATATCTTCTAGAACAGTCAAGTTTTTGTTTTAATTATAATTAATGTCTTGGTCATTTTTTATTAGCTCTAACTTACATATTTAAAGAAACATTTATTAGACAACTGTTACAATTTAGAAAGGCAAGGTGCCATTACTGAATAAATCAATTCCTCCAGAGTGGATGTGTCCCTTCTCTCACCAACTAATGAAGCAGTGACATACATTAATTTTATTAGTACATGACACATTGCTGCAAATGCTAATTCTCTTATCCACCCTCATGTTCACCATGTATGTGTGAGTTTGTTAAAATGCACCAACCATCTATCTAATGATCAACAGCAGGATGAGCTAGGCTTGGGCTTTCGATGAAGATTGACGGTGTCTGTCTGAATCAAGTGATCGGACCTATCCTCAGTAGCAAGAACTCTTCGAACTGCTTCCTCAAAGGCTGCTGCAACATTGGTGGCATCTTTTGCACTTGTCTCAAAGTAAGGATAATCGCCGTTGTCCCTGCACCACGCTTGAGCTTCTTCTGTAGACACCTGTCGTTCGCTTATGTCTAACTTGTTGCCCAAAATCACAAAAGGAAAGCTTTCAGGCTCTTTTACATCTGCATAATATATGAATTCTTTCTTCCAGTTACTCAAATTCTGGAAACTCTGTGAATCATCGACACTAAAGGTAAGTAGGCAACAGTCAGAGCCTCTGTAAAAAGGCGTCCTCAGGCTTCGGAATCGCTCTTGACCAGCTGTGTCCCAAATCTGCATGGTAACAAAATGTCCATCCACCTCCAGATCTTTATTTAAAAATTCCACACCTATTGTATGGAAGAGCTGGGCATCAAACTTATTAGTTACATATCTGTTCATAAGAGAACTCTTCCCAACTCCACCATCTCCAAGGAGAATTACTTTTAAAAGTGATGATTTTCCTGCCATCATTAATTTTATGAGCTTTGACTTCAGAACCCTGTAAAATAAAAGTGAACCATTATATCCCTTTATGCATGTACAGTCATCCACATAATTTTAGGAATATCAATGTTTGAAACAAAACACATGGGCTCTATTCCTTTTTGCAAAGGAAATAAAAACCTAAATAACGAGAAGTTTCATCTACTGAGCTCTCAGCCATGCTCCACCCTCAATCCTACCATTATTCTGGAGAGTAACTGCAAAGGGCTCACTCTTCCCCTTTCTCAGGTCAGCTGGCTGTGAAGCTGGCACTTAAGCCCAAGTCTGCTCTCAGAGACTTTGTTCTGACGTCATGCTGTGATCAGCCCCTCCCCGCTCATGGTACGTCCCATCACCATTTGTTAAAGAAGTGCTAAGAGAACAAGGTCCACACGGTTCTTTAGTGACTTCAAACAAACAGCCTTTTAGTGCTCCTTCTGCCAGGGGTTTTGCTCTATTGCCCCTCCCCCTTCTCTCTGCAGACAAGACAAAGCCAGAGACTTCTAGAAGCCACTGATCTTGCTGTAAAATAAGAGGAACCAACTACTGAGTAAATGCAGTTTCTTCTCACTAGGAACACCACGTCAGCAGCAATGGAATTTTTAATATAGTCTAGCACACTGTACTCACAGTTCATTTGGGCTGTTCCAACTCTTAACAAATACCAGCCTGTGCTATTTGTTGCTTGTGTGTTTTCAACTGGAATTAAAACCTGTACCAAAAATGTGCTACTATACTGTGTCTCCTGTGGGGTGAGATTTCTGAGGCATGTTGACCGTTACTTCTAAGTGCTGGAGGGAACGCTTCCCATTTAATGCCTCTGTTTTAGTACTTGTATTATAGATAATTTGAAATATATAAAACTTCTGAATAAAGAGAGCACAATAATGAATTCCCATGAACCCTAACCCCAGCTTTCCCAATTATCAGCATTTGGCAAAAGTTATCCCAGGCCATTCTTTGTCCTGTTATTTTGAATCAGATTATGTAGTCTTTAAGTATTTCACTAGTAAATAGCTTTCTAAATATATTACAATCTGTGAAGGAAAACTTCAGTGCATTACTGCAAAAGAATTTTATACAGTGATGGCAATGTCCAAGAGCCTGTCACTGGCCACACAAGGCTGCTAAGCATGTCGGTCAATGAGAGTGAGAAACTGAATGTGTGATTTTATTATTATTATTTTGGTGCTAGGGATGAAACCCAGGGCCTTGCACACGCTAAGTATGCATCTGAGCACACTAAGCTATTCCCCCAGCACCAATTGATTAATTTTAACTAATTTAAATTGCCACATTGAAAGAGCCTTTAACTGCACTGGCATAGCTCTAAAGCAAAAATGGTTCTTAACCTTAAAATCAAAGTAGATATTATGACTCCCTCAATGGGAAGGGAATAAAGACATGAACAATAACTGTTATACTGACTAGGATAAATTTGCAAAACCATTACAGTAAACATTATCTGGCTTACTTGTTATATTCAAATATGAATCAGTGTAACGTAAGTGAACATGTAAGAATTCTGTATTTCGGCTTTATTCTGATAAAAACCTCTAGCAGCTTGCATAATGAAAAATCAAGTGAATAGGAAATATGATTTAAAAAGAGATTCCTTACCCTCTTTCAAATTACCATTCCCGTAATGACCGCTGTAATTAATAAAATTTAAACAATCCAATAAAAGCATGAGGAAATTAAAATGTTTACCTCTTGGGAGACCTTTTGATTATCAAATATGTTGCTCTGCTCAACACTTTTATTACATTAATGTTAGAGAGAAAAACAAAAGAACCTCAAAGCCAGGCATGGTGCAGCATGCCTATAATCCCAGCACTGAGAGGCTAAAGCAGGAGGATCTTGAGTTTAAACCCAGCCTGGGCAACTTAGCAAGAAACTATCAAAAAATAAAAAAAATTAAAAAGGGCTGAGGATGTAGCTCCATGTGAAGAAACTGGATTCAATCTGTAACACTGAAAAAAAATTTTAAAAACACCTGTAAAACAACCTCAAGCTCCTTGATCTCCTGCTGCAGGTAACAAGTTCACTAAATCAGTTCCTTTTTTAATTATTTAGAGTCTTGCTTCAACAACTACAACTTTAAAAAAGATTACCAAAACAGAAAAGAAAAAAAAGCAACTATTGCCATGTGCCACACAATGACAGTTCAGTCAACAGCAGATCACATATACAATGTTGGTCACACAGATTATAATGAAGCAGAAAAACTCCTACAACCTGTTGATGCAGCTGGCCTCGCACAACCAATTCCCCACCTATTCATGGTGATTTTGGTGGAAATCAACATAGCACACTGCAGTGCATAAAAAGTATAGCATGTACATAACAGCTGATAATAAATGATATCAACTGATGTACTTACTATATTTTTTCATTAGTGTGTACTCTACTTATTCAAAATGTACTGTCAAACAGTATACCATGTTACACTGCACATCAAAAGGCCATGTCAAGTGATGGACGTGTACCATTTAGGTGTCTGCCTATACCACTTAGGTCTGTGTAAGCACTCTATGATGTTCAAAAATTGTCAAATCATCCTAGCAATGTGTTTCTCAGAATGTACCCCTGTTGTTAAACAAGAAATGATTGTATGAGGTGTGACTGAAAAAATACATCAAATGTTTAAATTTTCAAAATCACAATAAAAGACACACTGTGATTAACCCCCCTCAACATACTCATCTCTAGTTATGCACACACTTATCTCATTCTTGCCACTTTCTGAAGCAGTTCTGGAAGTCCTTGAATGTGAGTATATTTAGTTATGCTGTCATGACTGCCTTGATATCCTGAATCCATTTAAAACGTTCACCTTTCATGGTCATTTTCATTTTGGGGAAGAACCAGAAGTTGCAAGGTGAAGATCCAGTGGATAAGGACACACCACAGCATTTTCATTTGACAGAAATCACCATCAACTTTTCCCTTTTGTCTTTTTGAGACAGGGTCTCGCTATGCAGTTCAGGCTGGCCTTGAGCTCACTTTGTAGCCCAGGCTGGTTTTGGACTCACAATGATCCTCCTGTCTCAGCCTCACAAGTGCTGGCATTACAGGTGTGCACCACCACACCCTGCTAACTTTTGATCATTGAAGGGTGATCAAAAAATATGATGACCATTTAAAATTTTGTTACAGTAAAAGACATAAAGCCATTAATCCCCCTCAAAATACTCCTCCTTGGAAACTCTTATCATTTTTGGCATTGTATCTTTTACTCTACTAAGGTTTAAAAACTTCTAAGTACTCACAGTATTTTTGGTCACCCCTGTTATTTTAACACAGGAAAAAGCATCTGTCTAAAGCTCTCTTAAAATGACTACAATTCTTTAGTGGTTTATTCTGCAGCAATTCAGGACTAAGGTCAACTTCTAGGGCAAGGTACCTGGCCTAAGTTTGCCTGGGCACCTCCCCCTCACATTCTTTGCTTCAGTCATTCCGAAATGTACTGTCACATGGTGGTGACTCATGGGACACAGTATTGCCTTTGCCTGGCATATGCCGCTCACCCTGCCCTCCCCCCTCAATGGACTGCTGTACCCGTGGACCTACGCAACATGGTCATTACCTGATCAGCAGCTCTCCTCAAGAGTCTTCCTTTCGCACACTTTTTAACATAGGAAAACACAAAATTTCCATGTTGTGTTGTGAAAGAATAATAGACGTGCATAATTCCAGTCTCTCACTTACCCTAGTATTATAGTTAGTAAGTCTCTACCTATACAACAGCCTGACCAGACTCTAAGTGTTACTGTAAAACACTGAAATTTTAGAATCTTTAAGTCAAATTATACACTGGGGCATACAATCTAGCAATCCCACTTAGATTACTGGTGGCATACATCTACCAAATTAAGTTTTAGGACTTCCTGGGGATTTATAATTTAAGTGGCAGGGATGGAACCTAGGGCCTTGCACACGCTAATCAAATACGTTACCACTGAGCTACACCCCCAGTCCATATTATCATTCTGACCAAAGAAACTTGGGTTATACTAAGCCCACACACTAGGAAATAAGGCACATTTTTTTTGTATTTCAGATATCCCTATTTGGGAATAGTGTGGCATTTGTTAAATAATTAATATACATATGAACATTTTTGATTCTAACCTTGGAGTTGCATACACACAGTGATATAAATATGCAAACTGTCTGATTCCCAATTGAGGTCTAACAGCCAGCTTCATTCAGTCTATATACTAACATAATTGCAATCATCTAAGGGTTGTTAAAAATAACCCCTTGTTTTTATCTAAAAACAGAATCCTTTAAAACTTCTTTACTTTCATAAGCTAAAGAAACGAAAGTATCCTACTATAGTATATTATTTTTAAATTTACCTAAAATATAATATGAAGTCTCTTACATTTGGGATGATTGTCCAAAGGCAATAATCTCCAAGGTTAAAACACTACTTTAGGGCTGACAGTATAGCTCAGTGCTACAGTACTTGCCTAGCACACTTTGGCCTTGGGTTCTATGCCCAGGACCACAAAACAAACTAACAAAAAAGCCCCTTTTTTTGGGTGGGGGAGTTTTTCCGGTACCAGGAATTGAACTCATGACCTCATGCTTGCCAGGCAGGTGCTGTGCTGCTGAGCTAAATCCCCAGCCCCCCAAAAAACCACTTTAATAATTAAGCTAAGGGCTGGGGATATAGCTCAGTGGCATAAGCGCCTGCCTGGCAAGTACAAGGTTGTGAGTTCAATCCCCAGTGCCGCAAAAAAAAAAAAAAAAAAAAAAATTAGGCTAAATTCTACAAATAAAACAATATGAGTAGGAAAAGAAAAGCATATTACAGCCAGTCATGGTGGCACACACCTGTAATCCCAGATGCACTCTGAGAGGCTGTGGCAGGAGGACTGCAAGTTCAAGCTTAGTCTGGGCAACTTTGTGACTTCGTAAGACCCTGTTTCAAAAAAGGCTGAGGATGAAGCTTAGTGCAAAGGCCCTGGGTTCAATCCTTAATACCACATACGTACACAAAAGCATTATTACACAGATCAGAATACTTACCTTACTAATTCAGTTCAAACATTATCTGCAAAGAAAAAAATTACAAAGCTCACATTAGTAATATATATGTTTTCAGAATTAAAATGTGACAGTATCTGAATTCTATTTGTAGTCAGATTCTTAACCTCACAGGAAAACCATACTTAAATTTTGTCTGTGATCTTTCTAAGCCTAAAAAATGTCCTATACGAAGTATTAAAATTTAATCAGTTTTCTACCTGTTCATGTTTCTTGTCTGAGGTTCATACTCAGAGACATCTGTAAAATTATATTAAAAGAAAATGGACAGTATTTCACTCACTCTTTAAAACTTGCCCAATACTGGGTGGCAGAGAATTAAGATGCATTCCAGAGAATAAAGATAGCGTAACACAGGCAGGGCAAACAGAAGGGCCATGTGAGGGAGGGGTACAAGCATGACACAGAAAGCGGCAAGGTGAGGCTAAAGGCACCACAGGCTGTCACACTCGTGGGCAGCCAAGGTAAAGATGGAAACGTCCTTGTGGGTGAGTAAAAGCACACAGCCAGAAAGAAGTCAGGTCCTGCACCAAGGGCTAAGAACGCAGCCCAGAGAGGGAGTTCCTTGACATCCTGAAGGCTCCTGGGAATGAGTGACAATTGGAGGGTTGGGCTGTGACTGAATGACACAGCACCTGCCTAGCATGCATGAAGCCCTGGGTTCAATCACTAGTACCACAAAACAGCCAGCAACAATAGTACCTCCCTCTTAGGGGCTGTTGGGAAGAGTCACTCAGATGAAGGGACAGGAGTGTTTCATCACAGTGCCAGGTTCCTGGGATGAGCGTAGGACGTTCTGCAGAATGAACACAAAAAGAAGTATTTACTGGCAGTTTTAAGGACAAGTTCTTTTCACAGGCATTTTGTACTTCAAATTTCAGAGCTATAGGCAGGACAAATCAGATGGTTATGCAGGCCGACATGGGGGAGCCAAAGGATCCAATTCAACATGAGGGCGTCCCAGTAGTGCCTATGTGGATCCATGCTAAAGTGCCAGGTGTCTCAGCCCAAACCAATTGTTGCAACCTGGCCCTCACCCCCATCCCCACCTTATTAAAAGCAAAGTGCATGTACGTGTATCAGTCCTTAACTTATAAATTTAGTCAATGGAAAAATATGATATTCTTCAAAATGCTGATATATAGGAATAAGGGTAAAGCCACAATAGCAGCTAACACTGAATGGACTCAGCGATACTCCACTGATACTGCATTAACTTCTCACAAGTTTCTGATTACTTCTACATTACAGATGAGGACACTGACTCAGAAAGGCTAGATAGCTGGCTTAACAGGATAAAACCAGTAGAAGGTAGGATTAAGATATAAACACACCTGAACCACAGATATTTAACCCACTAGTCTATGTCAACTGCAACTGTTTCTGCATTTGTCAGAAGGCTTTGCTGGGGGCTGGGGATATAGCCTGCCTGGTACGCGCAAGGTGGCAAGTTCGATCCCCGGTACCGCAAAAAAAAAAAAAAAGAACGCTTTGCTGTTGTTGCAGATGTACTGAAAATAAGTTGTTAACACTCAGTCTTTCTGAAAATACACTTTAATAGGGAACAAAACATAACTCTTTCAGAAAACAGAACATTACAACTTGCTTTATTCTCAGGACACAATTTGGTATGTAAGCCCAGCTCTAGCCAAGCCCCGCAACACTGGGGCGCTAGGGAAAATTGGGAGGAAAGGATGAGGTCTTTCACAGTCCACAGTGCAGAGGCCTCCCGCCATAGCTCCAGCCAAGGTAAGCATTACTGTTCCTGATCGTCCTGAGCAACTCCGGTCACCATAAGCTGGTTGGAGGCCACCAACTGCACACTCAGCACCCTGTTCATCTGCCCAGTGTAGACACCCACGAGCTCGCTGGAGGAGCCTGGGACAGGACCTCTGTTGTGTGTGTTCTGGATGTCCCAGATACGAACTGAGTTGTCCATGGAGGCCGAGGCCACCAGAGCACTGTCTGAGCTGAATGTGAGTCTGGTGATACTGTCCTCATGGCCTCTAAGCTCTTTAAAAAGGGCTCCAGAGGCCAAGTCCCACAACTTCAACTGTCGGTCTTCACCAGCAGATGCCAAGTACTTCCCACTGGGGGAGAAGGTGAGAGTGAGCACAGAGCCTTCCTGTCCCGTGAAGAGCCTCACCGACGCCCCCTGCTGGACATCCCACAGTCGCACAGTCCGGTCGGCGGAGCCTGTGGCCAGGTAGTTGGAATTTGGGTGGAACTTGACACAGTCCACATCAGCCAAGTGTCCGGCATAAATCCTCAGCAGGTACGTACGATCGAAGACCCACAGCCTGGCGGTGCGGTCATGTGACCCGCTGGCGAAGTAACGGCTGCAGGGGCTGATGTCCAGATCCCACACTGGAAAGTTGTGTCCTTTGTACTGCACAGTGTTGGTGAAGGTGTCCAGGTCCCAGTAGCGGATGGACGTGTCCTCAGAACAGGAGAGCAGCCCCGAGCTGTCGGGGAGGAAGCGCACGTTGTACACCGGGCCGCAGTGCCCCCGCAGGGTCTTCATCTCTGAGCCCGTGCTGTCCTCCTCCTGCTCCAGAACATCACAAGCCAGGTGGATGCGTAAGACATTCTCAGAGTGGGGCTGGGATTTCAAATTCTTGGGCCACAGGCTCCAGAGTTTTATGCTGGAGTTCTCAAAGCCCGCGGCAAGCAGCTGGCCGTTGGGGGCAACCTCGGCGGTGCTCACATGCTGCTGCTCCCGCTGTGGCTGCGCAAGGTAGAAAGTGTACAAGTAGAACGTGGTAAGGGAGGGCAGCTGGGGGCGCACGCGCCTGATGCTCTCCTACAGGGCCTGCAGCGCGCCCTCGTCCCGCTCCAGCGGGGCTCCCGCTGTGCCCTCCTCGGCATCCGCTCTGCTGGGAGGCTGCACATCCAGCTGGATGTGCGCCATGAGCACGAGGCACAGCGCCGCGTTGTCGGCGCCCTGCAGGAAGCCCAGCAGGTACTGGTAGCCATCTTCCTGGAGGCTCACCATGTACTTGCCATCTAGGAAGGCCCGGAGAGTGGGGTTGGCCAGCACTTCCTGAGCGGTGTGGGTGGCCCGCAGCTGCTCTACCACATCCCTTTGGATTGCATCCTGCTGTAAGCGGCCGTGGAAGCGGTCGTAGAAACTTTTCGCTGCGCCCTTCAGGCCGCTCTCCACCAGGCTGAGGTGCACGTAGACGAAGAGCGGGTAGAGGAGCGACGTAAGGTCGCAGCCCGGTGGCAACTCTGATTCAGTGAGAAACCACCACAGCCGGTCAAACTGCTCCTCAGCCTGCTGGAGATCCGCGTAGCTTGGCGCTGCGGCCACGAGGTTGGCAAAGCCGGTCTCTGCCTGCACGGAGAGGCGGGCCGCCATCTCCTCGGTCGTCTGCTGCTGCCTCGCGAACTGGTCCTCCGCCTCCTCCGCCACCGCCGCGTACTGCCGGCTCCTGAGGTACTGGGCCGCCGCCTCCAGCAACTGTTCCTGCTGTGTTCCCTCCATGACTTTCGAGGTAGGCACGAAGCGCGCCCCAACTCCTCCCTGCCTTCGTGGCCAGCCGAAACGCCGTAAGCTTCCGCCGCACGCTTCCCCGTACACTTCCGGTGCACGCTCCCTCCGCACGCTCCCTCCGCACGCTTCCCCGCACGCTCCCTCCGCACGCTTCCGCTGCACGCTCCCTCCGCACGCTTCCGCCGCACGCTTCCGCCGCACGCTTCCGCCGCACGCTTCCGCCACACACTCCTGCTGCACACCTCCGCCACACGCTTCCGCCACAGCCCTTGCTGCGCAGCCGTAGTGCTCAGCCAACCACGTGGGCGCCATTCCGCGCCCCTCCCCCGCCCTGCCCCTTTGTCTGTTCACCCAACGCCTGCCCACCGTGACCCAGCTCTCGGTGGTGGCCCTGTGACGCCTGAGGTGCTCAGTAAGGGCCTTTCAACCTGCTCTATTCCGTGGTCTGGATGTTCAACAGAACAAGTTAAAGTGACAGAACTAGTACTCTGTGATGTATCACTAAGCAGTGTAAAGTGCATCTGAGTACTCGAGTTTAAGTGGTTGAAAATATGACTTAAATGAAATGTAAGTCAAACTTCTGAAGTCACTTTACAGAAGCTTAGCGCTCGACAGAACAGATAGGAAACCAGTTTTTCAACCAGTATTTTTGAATGCTACGATGACAGACACTGGGCCACACCCAAAGCCACTTAAGCGACAACTGTGGCAGTTCTACAAAAATGAGGCACATGGTATACAGTACAACTACTGACAGTCAAACCTCAAAGAGCAGCTGGAGGTGGCAGTGCACATCTGTAATAGCAGCACTCCAGGAGGCTGAGGCAGGAGGATGGACAATTTGAGTCTCACCTGGGCAATTTCGCATTTTAGGGAGACCCTGCCTAAAAATAAAAAAGGGCTGGCAATGTAGCTCTGGGTGAAGGCCCTGGGTTCAGTCCCCAGTACAGCCTATCAATCAGTCAGTCAATGCATGCTTTAAAAATAGCACAGGGGAATCTGCCTACCACTTCTCTTCCTGAATGACAGGAACTACTGAGGGGGGGGGCACAGAACACAGGACCCCTCAATCAGACCAAGGTCCTTCATGCCTATGTGACTTCAGCCATCACAAGGACTTCCTCTGCATACAACACAGTCCTGTAACATTAAGCCAACTATTTCACTTGCGGAACTACAGTTAAGGAAAAAGTGGTACCTTCCAACAGTGGAGGAAAACTGGATTGTGTTACACGGTTAATGAGAAACCATTCATTGGTTTTCTGAGGGGGTGTTTCATGTTTTGATGATCATTTCGGCCACACACTGTCCTTGGAGACACAGCTCTCAGCCATATGGGACTCTAAGGGAGGCCGTCTTGACCACACGCTAAACTCAGCAGGGAGTAGGGGGAGCCAGGAGAAGGGATGGACTCATACAAGGCCCTGTCCAGGAGGCCTGGCCGTGGAATGGACTAGGAGAACCCCAGAACGGCCTGAGCACCTGGAGGCTGGACAGGAGCAGTGTGCTAGGAAGATGGAGCTGGAGGACCAGGCCTTGGAGTGGACAAGGCTTCAAAAGCCACAGCAAGATTTCTGTGCCCTAAGATAACAGAGAGCCGACAAAGCATCAGCAGTGGCTGACTCCATCAGATCAGGAGTAACTGTCTGCAATGGCACAGTGAGTTGCAGATGAGAGGAGGAGGAAGACCCCGTCCAGGCAGAGCTGGGATGGATGCCCTTATGACCCCTTGCCACCGCCAGTGAGGCCTGGGTGTGCAAATGGAGGCAGCCGTGCCTCACACTGCGGCCTCCAGTGACAGTCACCCTATGACTTCAAGCTGCACCTGGCTCCCCTCCCAGTTCCTCCTCCCACCCCTTGTAGATGCAGCTGGACTTCATCCCCTCCCAAACACCTGCATCTCTGACAGAGCCCTCATCCCCTGTGCTCCTCACCCCATGCCTGCCTTTACCATTTACCACACAGAATTCTGTAACTGACCTATTAGGCCTAGTAAAAATGAAACAGGCTGTATAAAAAGACATGTATCATACCACTTGTCAGGTTTTTAGACTATACCTAAAAATACATGCCCATACTATTCTAAAATCACCTTTCTACAAAAAGAAAGAAATGAAACCATAAAAATATCTGGTTGGGCAAATGGAAATAATTTAAATGTCTAGCCAGGGGATGCTCTGAACAACCTGAGACATGGAGACATGGGACTGTACACAGTGATGTGATGAAATCAAGCAGCATGCTCACTGGAATCACACGCTGTAAGGCATACAGATGTATATTAAAGTCTACTTTTTAA